CAGGTTTGCTCTTGCTGCCCAGGAGAAGAAGCTGCCAATTGCCATCCTTAACATTGGGCCCACAAGGTTAGATCACTTTGCGACCTTAAAACTGAATTCCCGCTGTGGAGAGCTGCTACCTTTGATTGTTGCACATGACCCAACAAGTTGAGCTATGAGGAGTAAAATTATTTCTACAAGGTGGGTACCTTCCCTGGTCAGTCTTCTTACAGGGTAAGAAGATGAGTTCCCATCAAATGCCGAGATGCACTGACTAAAAAATATGTTCCCACAATGTGCACCAAAATGCAGCTGTAAATTTTCATCTGTAACTGGTATGCTCTGATGGGCCATACTGTTTCCCATGATCATAAACAAAAAGCACACTAAGTGCTAACACTCCCAGAAGATCAGCGTTGAGTTCCAATCCATTTGTCACAATCTGAAAACTACAGGGGATCATCTGCAGATTCGCAGAACCTGATCAACACTGTTGCCTTTGCAACTGACAATTCAAAAAGCTGTGCCTGGTTGAATTGATCCAGCTAATCCTAATCAAAACACTGCTGTTTAAAACAATCAATTCCATCTATAAAGCAGCATCTTCCCTCCGGTCCTGCAGGACTCGTCATCTCAAAAGGGAAAAACCTCAATTTAAGAGGCAGCTGTGAGATCCAATGCATGGCCCCTGGTGACACCAGAAGAGGGCAGCAAGCGTCGCAGATGTCAACCCGACCAGTTTTATCTATTGAAACCATCTCCACTTACCAGGAAACAGGGTGATGATGAAAAAAGTACTTTTCTGCCTTACTTTGACATTGTAAATGGAGCCTTTTCATTCACTGGGACAGCATAATCAGACTACCATATCTGAGAACAAAATACGTTTCTTATAATTGTCTCTAGAGAAGAATGAGGGACACAGATTTTGACAGAGTAACTTGAGGCTACAGCACAGGAGGGCGATGTGGAAAACCACAGTATCTACTGGAGGATCCAATACCACTAGCTGGCAACTGTGGAGCGTGCCAAGAGGAACTGCAGTTGTCATTTAAAAAAAAAAGGTTCAAAATAGAGGTTGAACAAGAATACTGCTCTTGTAAGAGATTATTTGAAAGCACAGACTATAAGGCTGACGTCTTCTAGCAAGGAGGGGAAGTCAGCATTTCTCTCAACTGTCAGTTGACAAGCTAAACTGCTTACTATCTGAACCCTTTAAAAATTATATATAGTTGAGATGCCAGAGGAGTTATTTTAAGCTAATCTGACGAGCACTGCTTACAGTGTGGCTGCTACATTTTCCGGAATGCATTTTTTTGAATATGTTATTTAACTAATGAATAGCTAAGTAGTGAATTAAAATTGTTTACAAGACTGGTACTATTTGCATTGTCATTTCCTCTCCCTCCTATGATTTATTTAAGTACAGTCTCAATAGCCAGTTTAGATTCTTTTTTTTTCCATTGCAAAAATACAGGATGCAATTACTATCAGCTGATGAATTAGGAGAGAAATACAATTAAATCTGTACAAGAGGTCTCCCTCAGGAGGTAATCTCAAGCTATTAATAGATGTAATTTTCCACACTCCTAACAGAAGATCCATCACTACTGGGTAACCATTTTTTGTTCATCCTTAGGGTGGTAACGTAAGACATATTAAACCATTTATGGAGTAAAAGACAGAATCTTGCCCAGACTAGAACACTACATTTTTGACCCAACCTTCTGCATGAATCTACCGCTCCCCTTCTGGCTGTGAGGGAGAAAAATTGTTGGGGTCTTCCAAATGCCCCAGTCCTGCTCTCCACAGAACCTGTCCTGTATGAATATTTTGACAAGAACTGTAACAAGCAGTTGGAAGCAAGACTGCCAGATTCATCTGCTAAAAGGTCAAGTAGCAAAGCAAGGACAACTGACCATGTGATGCAAAGTTCTTTTTTGCTTTGTTGTTGATTCAAATTCATGCCAGGCAGGAGCAAGTAAAGCACAGAATCTAAGGGATACTTAGGCACCCAATTTCTGCAGAAGTCAGAGGGAATTAAGATACTTAGCTATATTAAGATATTTAGGATCAAACATGTTATATTCAATGTGGCTATAATGGGTCAGAGGAGAGACTTCGCTTAGAAGCCAAGCAAGGTAAGTTCAGGACCCCTACCTGCATTCTTCTCTCATTTAATGGATCCCACTTTCCAGCAAGTTAGGTATCTGCTGTTTGGTAGTGAAGAAAGCTCACAGATGTCACTCCATCTTTGCCATAGTACAGCTGTCCTGCTAACCCAAGCTTTTGCCGAAATCATCGCTAAGGCATAGCAGAGTTTCCACACAGAGTCAGGGAGCTTGCAGAGAGTGTTTATTCACACAGGTTTTTCCATGTAAGATGAAACATTTATGCCTCCTTAGAAGAGGAACTGGGGCTGGGTTTCTCACTATCCGTGTCATCTTCTGCATCACCTTGAAACTTGCATGACATAGGTGTGTTAAAAACAGAGGCTGCGGGTTTACTGCCAGTTGAGCCAGCATTTTGAGAAGGTGTGGGAGCATTGCCAAGAAGTCTAAAACAAGAAGACATTTCCAGTGAGGGCTTGGCATTAGCAATGTGACAGGTACCTAAAACTCCCACATCTAACCCTGCCTCTTCTCCAGTTCAGCAGCGGAGCCTGCGGGAGAGGAGTCAGGGTGTCTCTTCAGCATCACTAATAAATGAGTCATGTTACCCTGACCATCCACTGATTATATATTTTTAAGTCACTAGGACAATGACTTACAGTAAACGAACATTTACAGTAAATTTCCTGTGCATGGTTTATTACTATATGTTAATGAACATACAACAAGTATACGAGGCTGAGATGAAGGAGTTACTTTTTTTTTTTCCTGCTAAGCTGATCCAGCACTACTAAAACTGACTTATTTTAGAGCAGGATCAGAGCACTTCACCTCTTAATATGTTCCCCAAGATACCATTGAGAAGTAAGTTCACTCAACTGAGCAAGGCCAGAGAAAGCCTAAACTTCCTATACCAAAAGCCAGATCTGCATCACTCTAATGCTAATTGACACCTTCTCCTGTCACTCCTGGGGGACTCTTTGTGTGGGACGATGCAATGCAGAGAGATGACAGCTATCAGAAGATAACTGTGTCATTGCAGGTAGCTAGCAAAAACCTATTCTGAGAAGTTCATGTTTCTCAGCTTAGTGATGTAGTTATCAGGGAATTATAGAAACTTCCAGTGTTGAGCAATATAGGATGTGAATCAGCCATGCTGTGGGAAAACAATAAACTCAGTAAAAGAACTGACCTAGTGTTCAGCTTTATTCTCTCAGCCTATGCAGAATTTGCAAGGGAGGAGGGTTTTAAAAGGGGAGAAATATTGTTCCTAAAAGACTAAACAAAAGGATGATAATCTTTGTGTTACTGGCTAAAACTAAGAAAGTGTTAGAGAGCCTGAGCAGGGTCGTCTTCCCTCATCATCAGGAAGGAAATGTGGATCCTTTCTATCTACCTTGTCTGCTTCAAGCCAGCCTTATCCTCCACATGATTCAATCCTCTCTTACCTTTTCTGGCTCGCTGTTGTTAGACCAGTCCACCAGTATTTCAGACCAGGGCTTGAAGTTGTAGCTCTGCCCACCTATGGGTGGCAAAGTACACATCAGACAACAGCACAAGGACAGGGGTTTTTACCATGAAATTAGCTGAATCAACAGCTTGTGCTCTTCCTTTTTTCTTACAGCTGTTCCTACTAGGACAAGCTCCTGAGGTTTGGATAGAGGAACTGGGAGTGCCTTGTAACAGATTTTTCTGCCACTCTTCTTAAAGTGGGGTTGGAGTTACCCAAAGCAAATAAAAGCTAATTCCCATTTGGCAAATCTCATCTTTGTTTTTGGGCAAATTCTCAGAGCAAACTTTGTAATTGAGTCCCGCAGCCCAAGAGAGGTATTTCACATACTGTGCTCCAGAGAGGGCAGCACAGACTGCAGATGGCCCAGAGGACTTGTGCCTGATGGGTATGGTGTAAGCACAGCCTCCCCCATCTTACTGCCAGATTCCTCCTACTGACTAACCTGCTTATTCACAACTTCTGGAAAAGGACCGAAGACCCTGGGCATGGTGAACTTGGGAGGTTCAGGAACCTTGGAGTGAAGACAACTAAGTCTACCTTCTAGAGTGTGCTTCTTCCCCCTTGGATGTTCCCCTTTCCCAGTCTTTGCAGCTGCAAAGAGAGAAAAAAAAAATTCAAATGAATGCCAACTTATTGGTTTCCTCAGTCCATTCATTCAAAACCTGGGGCTTGGGCAGGACAGATGGAGTCTCTCTCTCACATAACGTGTCCTAGAGCAGCCCCAGGTAAACGGCAACTGAAAGCAACAGTTCTAGGAGGCTGTCTGGGGTCAATGGGAAAGGAATGAGGAGGGTCTCAGCCAAATACCTGAAGTCAGAATTTCTTATCACTACCCCCAGCCATCCTCTATGGTGTCTCAGTGCAAGGCTTTTGAGAGCTGAATTAACTTGGCCTCAGCGGTTGTGTTTTTACATTACAGAAAAGATAATAGTGATGAGAGAGTAAATTTACGACAGAGGACTCTGTTTCTCCAGTCCTACTGGTCTGGCCATTATCATCACTGATAGATACTGTGAAAATATCTTTCAGACGCCAGGTTTCCCCTGGCTGATGCTTGCTTTCTGTAAGGACAGGAAATTCTGCTACATGGGCTGTTAAACAGCTTCGATTTGTTTGGTCGGAGCCTTAAAAAAAAGAGGTGGATAATGCATTTGGAATACCATCACAAAGTAGCCCATTAATCCCTTTCCTCCTATCGTATCGGTCCTGTGAGCTTTTCTAACTGCAAGGGTCCCCAACAGGGGCTCCACAGCTGAACGTTCTGTCACCTATGCACCCAAGTCCTGATAGATACAGGAAGTGATGCAGGGGACACAGACAGTAAGAAATTCATACCCGCTCACCCTGCCAGTACAATTAGGCAAGCAGGTAACAATAACTAAGGCTAAAAATAAGAGGAGGCAAAAAAAGAAAGAAAAAAAATAAAAGGAAAAAGCATTTTGTGTTAGTGGCCCTCATGATGTAGAGCTGTGACTTTTACACACTACAGGCAAGCAGTTTTGAGTGAATGACCTAAGTGCTGCTTGCCCTTGCCAAGACCCAGACAACATATGCA